TAGTAATTCAAACTCATAAAACAAACATGTTATATATTCATACATATGAAACTACATACTGTGAACTTTGTGTTATGCATGGATTATAAGGCTATATGAATTTTGGAGTGGGCCTTTTGTTGTTATTTATTAGATATACCTAATAAATTCTCAAAAGGGAATATTTTATGGTTCATTTAGTAAAAGAGTTCAAATTAAGGTGGATTTGAATTTTGCCTTTGAACTATGTGGGTTTTGAACTGTGTGATTTGAATATGGGTTCAAATCTTAAGAACCCAAGGAGAATTTGGGTTTAAAAATCTTTTATTTTGCGGAGAGTAGTTATATTTGCACTAAAAAAATTCATAGATGTCGTCACTAATTAATGATCATCTAATAAAGATTTGAAAAATATATATAATTTTCATAATACTTAATTTAACCCTTTCATAATCCCACCTAAATCTTAATTTTGATTAGTAAAATAATATAATCCCTTCCAAATATTAATATTATCTTTTCTTTTTTTATAACTAATGCAATTCTCTTTACTTTTATTTATCAATTGTCTTTGTTGACGGTGAAATCTCGTCAACAGAAACAGGCCGGGTCACCTCTAGGTATCCCATTGGATTACCGGTTTGATATTGACTGTATACTCAGTTTATGCAATGAAGTGTTTGTTGTATCTTTAGAATGGTGAGCAATATGAGATAAAGTGCTTGAAAGTAGAAGAACATACGAAATTTAGAATGGTTCACTCTGTTAATGAAGAGCTACATCCATTGTAGTTTTATATTCCTTTTAAGATTGTTACAATTTATAACAACTGTTGTTCTTTCATTTTTTCTCTCTCAGGAAGCGAACCCCCTTCTTGTATGGGGCTTTGCCCCTTTTATAGCCGAGCTTCCTTCATCGGATGGGTCTCCTTTGTAGGCAGAAGCACTCAAGTGGTCTGCCTTTCTAGGCCCAGACCGTAGCCCACTAATCACTTTGCGAACTGTTCACTCAGCCAATTAGTCTCCTATTACGGCTCTATGTGTACTTGTAACCTTTTTCTGTCTCCCGTAAGGCGGTTTAAGGGTTTGCAATTAATGCCTGCATTGCAGACATCCCCCATTTCTGCACGCAACTTGCGATGTCAGGCTTTCCCCTTTTGGGACATTTCTCTCGCCGTCTCTGTTTGCTAAGCCTAATCTTTCTTGGCAATTGATTTTCTCCAGAAAGATTTCCGTCGTAAGGTCGACAGTACGACCTGTCGTCGTCATGAGGAGTTGGCGTCCTAAGTTGGGCTTCCTTTGTAGCAAAAGGAAATGGAGTCCCCAACGTCGATGGTTGCTGCCTTTTGAGGAAAAGCAAAGCCATGTGTCGCAATGTTGTTCTTCCGCGCGACATCCACATTTTCCCACACAACAGTCTTCTTACCTCCTCCTCTTTCTTCTTTCATTAAGCAAACACGAGAACAACTCTCTAAGTTTGATCTCACAAAACTGCTCCTTTAAATCTTTGGCCAATTATATTTTGCTAATAAGCAAAACTAATAAAACTCCTTCATTTCTTATTTTCAATTTGATTTTGGTTTAGAATAAATTAAAAAGTAGGGGAATGTTTTCTATTCATTTGAAAAATACTTTCTAATTATAGTTTGTGTATGCTCTTTTATTTTTTTTGAAAACAAATATTATTTCCATTTATAATTAATATGGGGTATCTTAATGGGTTTTAATGTAATCTTATATAAAATTATAATAAATAAAAATTATGGATTGGTGGGAGCATTATTAATTTAGTGGGTATAAATATAATTACTCTTTTGTAAACAAACACTAATTTAAACTTAAATTTAGTTCAAATCTCTTAGACCCTCTAACTAAACAACCCCTCAAAGAATGTAACAAAAAGTGACCCCAAAAAGCTATACTTGCTCGCCGCTGAAACAACCACCCTCACCCGCCTCCAATTTTGTCCAACTCGTCTATTCTATTGGACAATTTGGGATACCTAAATGATAAATACATACGTACATATATATGTATAAGTATAAATATAAGTACATTGAATAACGAGGTATTACAAGTGCATTTTTTACACTAACTTGGTTTTAAACAATAAGATACTAAAATGATATTTTCTCTTTGAAAAATATGAACTTTTAACTATTTTATACCATGTATTTCATAGTTTATAAACCATGTATTATAGATGTTCTCAAAATTATACTACGAGTTTTAAATTTACATTTTATATCATTTCAGGATCAAAATTTAATTTTACCCCTTTATAGCTTAATAATAAACTTGAAACCAAGCACAAATAGGATGTCATGGTTTTTTTTAAGGAGAAAATTGTACAAGTTAAATTTTTGTTGTTCAAAAAAAAAAAAAATCGTTAGTGTCCTTACCCTCCAGCGACTATAGAAAGAATCTATTGGTCTTGTCAGTACAATAGTCAAATACTTAAGATCTATTATCCACCCGTTCACAATATAAATTTCACATGTCCACCACTGACCCCTTATAGGCTTATACCTACTGTAGGTGAGCATTGCCGCTTTTAAGACTGAAACTCTTTATGTGAGGACATGGAAATTCAAACTCTATGTTGTGAATGATGGAGATAGCCTCGTTCACTTTACATATTCGAGTTTTTAATTTGAGTTGAGATGTAACATTTTATGAGAGTTTTTATTATAGTAAAAAAAGTTAAATGTGACATTTTTTGAGAACTTTTTACTGTAAAAACTTAAAATTAAAAATTCGAATCAGTGAAATGAACGAGGTCTTAGGCTAGCCATGCATTTGAGTTTCTAAGGATAATTTGAGTTTGTTTGGATTAACTTAAAAAAGTTATTTTTGGTTCTAAAAACTGTTTAGAGTATGTTTGGATAGACACTCTTAAAGTATTTTTTGACTTTTATAAGCTTTTTTTAAAACAAGTCACCTCTAACTCTAAGAGCATCTCTAATACTATAATTGATGTGTCAATTATAAATTTAACATTTGAGTGCAAAAAATAATCTCTAATGTAATGTTATTTGTCGTGTCAAATTTTTCATATGCTATACTTTGTGGTGAATTTTTTACTAAGTATAGCATATGAGAAATTTAACATTTGATTACTATTGGTTGCAATGTTTACTTTTTCCATATAATCAATGCAACTTTTGCATTTTCTAATTATTTTAAAAACAAAAGTTTATTTTTACAACTTTTAAAGCTTAATAATTATAAGAAAAAGTAAATTTGTATTTCAAATAACATCATGCATTGGAGTAAAAATAAAAATAACATACCACATCATACTTTTTAATGCTAAATATACAATTAACATCGACATTTGTATTAAAAATGATCTTAATATTTATAAAAAAGGAGTTTATAAAAAGCTTTTTTATTTACATTTTAACATTTTATTTGTTAGCAGTAAATTAAATATTTTATGCATATATTTATATTACATTACTTTTTAAAATAATAAATACTTTTAACTTATTTACCCAAATAAACTTAAAAGCTCTTCTAAAATAATTTTTTTTATACAATAATATCCTAACACTAATTAAAAAGTCCCCACTCATACTTATTTTTTTTCTTTTACTTATAAGCAAAAGTACAAACTTTCCTAAACGAATTTGAAATTCTTGTTGTTTGGTTCATGATTCATCTATAAGTTACAAAGAGTAAGTTCTCAATTTAAGAATTTAAATTAGCTCCTGATCCAGTAAAGATATAAGTTTAGTACGAATTTGAAATTCAGAAGTACAATGTTGAGAATATAATACACGATACTCAAAATTCAAGTTACAAAGCCATAAACGTGAAGAATATGAGTCTTTTTACTGTAAGATCTCAAACGGGTAGTGTATATATCTAATTGTTAGTTTTGATAAAAAAAAAAAAAAACAAAATTTATGTAAAATAAATAATTTTTAATACAGATATAAGATTTAAGGGTTGAAAATATCTTTTGATAGTTTATTTTTCAAAATGCATTATAAAAAACGAAATAATAAGAGACGTGATGTATCAAGATTAAGTTCATATATCTCTTTATTTAGTCTCCTTTGGTGTCTTCTCAATAAAATTATAATACATCATTTAATTATCATAAATTTTTAATTGAGGTGATATAAAATTTTAATTAACGTGATATAATAATAAAGGGTCATAAGGGTCAATTTTAAAGATAATATAAAAACACGAGCCTCTACAGTAAGATCCCTTAAAAAATCTATCGAGAGAACATTCTATTTTGACTGTTTGATTAAGTTTTTAATGGTAAGATCTGTAAAGGTTCATATTAAGGTATCGTTCGCTTCGTAGAAATTATTTTAAATTCGAGCTGAGATCTGACATTTTCTGAGAGCTTTTAACTATAACATAAAAAATTAAATGTGATATTTTCTGAGAACTTTTAATTGTAAGAACTTAGAACTAAAAACTCAAATCGGTGAAATGAACGAGACCTAAAAATTTATAGCGCGCACCACAAAACTACTCTCTCTGTAGATCGACGGTTAAAAATATAATCTAACGGTCAAAATTTTAAGATGTTATGGTTCGAATTATAATTCGTGACTCATTATAGTATTTTTTTTATAAAAAATATATATAAATTAAAAATAATTATAAATTATAATTTTAAATTTATAAATCAAATACCAATGGATTTGTGTGTGTGTAGAAAAAGCCTAAAAAAAACATATAAAAAATATCGAGAATCGAATGGCGTATCCAGTGATGAAGGAAAAAGGAAAGGGCAATCGCCACGTGGGCAAAGAATATCATATGCTCACGCCTCTTCCTACCCAACTCTCTTCTCTCCCTCTCCATTCGACCACTCTCTCCCCTCTCTCTCTCTCTCTCTCTGAACTTCCAAACCCTACCCCTAATCCTTCCTCTCCAACCCCAATTCACATGAAATCCAAGCCCCAAACCATCATTTACAACAGTCTTTGATGGTCACTTTCCCCTCCCTCAAACCCTAGCGACCGCTCCGACCGCTC